TTCAAAGCACCCTCTCCACTTCATCTTTTATCAAGGCTTTTCTCTTCAGGCTTGAAAGAAGACTGTAGGACATTTTATGTGCATTTTCCCTAATGTGCACGTTGTTGGCAAGCAATTATTCCTAATATAGTGTATAGTACCTACTGTTATCATTAATGTACAATTTTATGTAGATTTTTCCTTAATGTATCGCATTCATGTTTTGATTGAAGAAATGTCTTATAAAATTCAGACAATTGTAAAATATCATTTATCTTTACATATTACTTCTGGAAATTAACAACAACAACAACAACAACAATAATAAAGTTGGAAGGGACTTTGGAGGTCATCTAGTCCAACCTCCTGCTCAGGCAGGAAATCCTATACCATTTCAGACAAATGGCTGTCCAATCTCTTCTTAAAGACTTCCAATGTTGGAGCATTCACAGCTTCTGGAGGCAGGTTGTTCCACTGATTTAATTGTTCTAACTGTTGGGAAGTTTCTCCTTAGTTGTAGGTTGCTTCTCTCTTTGGTTAGTTTCCATCCATTGCTTCTTGCCTTGCCTTCAGGTGTTTTGGAGAATAGCTTGATTCCCTCTTCTGTATGGCAACCCCTGAGATATTGGAACACTGCTATCATGTCCCCCCTCATCCTTCTCTTCATTAAACTAGACATACCCAATTCCAGCAACCGTTCCTTGTAAGTTTTAGCCTCCAGTCCCCTAATCATCTTTGTTGCTCTTCTCTGTACTTTTTCTAGAGTCTGAACATCTTTTTTACATTGTGGTGACCAAACCTGGATGCAGTATTCCAAGTGTGGCCTTACCAAGGCATTGAAGAGTGGTATTAATACTTCACGTGATCTTGATTCTATCCCTTATTAATGCAGCCTAGCATTTTGTTGGCTTTTTTGGCAGCTGCAGCACACTGCTGGCTCATGTTTAAGTGATTGTCCACTAGGACTCCAAGATCCTTCTCACAGTTACTACTATTGAGAAGGTACCTCCTAAACTATACCTGTGCATTTGGTTTTTCTTGCCTAAATGTAGAACCTTACTTTTTTCACCATTGAATTTCATTTTGTTAGATAGTACCCAATGTTCAAGTCTGTCAAGATCCTTCTGTATCTTAAGCCTGTCTTCTTCCTGCCAGCTTGGTGTCATCCGCAAATTTGATGAGTTCCCCATCTTTCCTCTCATCCAAATCATTGATGAAGATGTTGAAGAGCACTGGGTGCAGAACAGACACCTTGGGCACCCCACTACACACTTCCCTCCATATAGCTGCAGTTCCATTGAGGACCACATGCTGAGTATGGCTGGTCAGCCAGCTATGAATCCATCTGGTGGTGATGCTGTCTAGCCAGCATTTTTTCTATCTTATTAAGTAGTAGGTTGTGATCTACTTTATCAAATGCCTTACTGAATTCCAAATAAATTATAGTCAAATAAATTAAAAGATAAATGCTTTATCTTTTAATGTGTTTTCTCCAATTTGAAAGACAAACAAATGTCCCTGTTGCTTATACAACAGGGTATTTTCCTGTTTATTTTCAGCTCTAAGTTTATCTATTATTGTTTTCAAAAGGATTTGTTTCAGTATGTGCTGCTTAAACCAGACATGTCAAACTCGTGATGTCATGTGACGTGCAATGTATCGGGACAGTTTTGCCATTGCCGGCAATGGGGTGGGCATGGCTTCCAGATGATGCATCTGGCCCACGGGCAGGCAGTTTGACACCCCTGGCTTAAACTAACTTGCAAATCAGCACAAAGTTGAACAAATTTATACAAAAATTATACAAAATACTGCCATCTGTTGAGGCAACAACAGGCTTGGTAATAACTACAAAGGCAGCATCAGTTAAACTTTAAATCTTGAATACCGAGGCCATTTGTTACCATCTCTTTTTTAAAGATTTTCTCATTTTCCAAAAATGATGAAGTGACAAAAGGTCAACATATTTTTTTCTCCAATTTCATTTCTTTGCTTAGACATGATGTATTAGACAAGTTCTATATAAATCATTAAATTAAGCCCAATTTTTTTTTTAGCAGAGTGAGCTTGTTCAAATCATCAACAGAATTATCTTGGAAACTGCAGGATAAGAATGGTTGGACTAATACTTTGTGGGTTAATCACTTACAATTTCTACCCTACCCCTTACATAACGACTGGGCAATTATGAAAGTTCTCAACTTACAGCTGATGTTCCTTAGCTGAACTATTGACGTAACCATGTCTCACTTTCTTAGACATCTTTATGACTTGGGAATATTATCCATTTAGCTGATCATTGCCAAGTAAACAAGTTCTCGGCTTGTTCCCTCCCTCAAGCAGTGCTGCCTTGCTATAGAATTTTGCTGAGGTGGCCCAGCTTGTGCTTGTGGATTTGTGCAGGACTTCTGCTAGAGTTAGTCTCCCTAACACCACAAGCATAAGTGCTCCTGTGTTTCTTTTTCCCATTGTATCTCTTCTTAGGTTCTTCATTTGAAGTTGTGATGTGCAGCTTCTTTCTCTCTTCTCTTTCTGTCTCTCCAAGAATGTGCTCCTGACCCAAACATTTCTAATTTTGTATTGCAAAGATAAAATGCTTTGCCTTACTTGGCTGCCCTCTTGTTTGGAAAAGACTCACACTAACCATTTCCACATGGTTTACAGTCTTCCCACACATTTATGGAGATATACCTGAAATATCTTTGCTGCCACCTCCACTACCATCAACACAGTGGAAACCCCTGGCTTCTTTTATCTTGGGCTCTTGGCAATGACTTAGCCTTGTCTTTCCTTTTTTTACCTTTCTGGAGCTGAAATCTCCATGGGCCTTTAAATCTGTCAGCAGCTGCTACCAAACTCAGTGTGCAATTTTAGTTCATTGTTTTCACAACTTATTGACTCCAAAAAGCGTTCCAAGTCTTAAAGAAGCATTGTCTAAAATTTGGAATAAAGCTAATTTCAGTACCTCAGAAGTCACTTTAATTTTGGTTTCCTTCTCAGTAGAGAGTTCCTTTATTTAACTTTCCCCTTCCAAAACCAGAAAAACTAAGATGCTTTATGTGAAATGAAAAGGGGACAATTAAGGTTTTTTTTTTAGTGATAAACATTTCCTATTATATAGTACAGCTTTTAGTTTCTGCGTGATAGAGTAGAGCAGTTGCTACATAAAAATAAAATTTGGCACATAATTCTCCTACAGTATTTCAGTGTTTAGGAGGATATTATTGGAAGAGACTTGGAAACCTAAACACATTTTGTCCAGCAGCCAACACCCTGATATATAGGATTTATACCAGGCAAACAAGCAGAAAATAATATCTCAGTCAAGGAACTACCAAAGAAGAAATTACACCCCACTAACACTTGCAAGCAAGCTATTATTGTATATATAAACTGACCAAATTTTACCTTCAGTCTCTTGGATGATGTTACCTACTGCAGTTGAGTAATGAAACATTTGCAAGCAAACAAGCTCAGAGAGCACCAAGGATTCTACGACTCAACCCCGAGCAACATATAGTCTCTTCTATTGGAAACACTAATTAAAGCTGCTTCTACAATAGGGAGAGGTAGCTCTGTGTAGTTATTAAATTTGTATTTTTTCTGCTTGTTTGCAAACCAAACACAAAGGGATCTAGATCCTAGAGCAGTGGTTCTCAACCTGTGGGTTGGGACCCCATTTGGGGTCGAACGACCATTTCACGGGGGTCGCCAAACAAGGCTGTCCACCATTTTTTCCCCTTTTCTTTGGCCACGCCCCTGATACCCAGTGATGTATAAGTGGTTGGGGGTCACCACAACATGGGGAACTGTATTATGGGGTCGCGGCATTAGAAAGGTTGAGAACCACTGTCCTAGAGCCTCATCAACTCTGAAACTGCCATTGCAGGTTCTATATATTGAATATAGATTGTGAAAGGCAAACTTTTGGGCCAAATGCATGTTTGAAATGTTAAAAACATGTGGGGGAACATTCACACAGAGGCTTTTATTCAAAACTTGCATTCCTCTTTACAAAAAATGAACTGTGCCAAGATCTAATTAACAAGGTTATTTAAGAGTTTTCTGGTATGGCTGCTAATCGAACCCTGCCACAATTTTTTTTCTTTAGATGAGAGGAAATTGATTTCCCATGTTCTATGTATGAAAAGACGACAATGGACATATTATTTAGTGCACTGGAATATCTTCTTCTTTTTCTTGTGCCATATCCATTATAGGATGTTGGCGATCATGATGGCGATCCTGTTTTTATCAGTAGCCGCATGAAAAAGTGCTGCTGAGTTTTGTCCAAACCAATCTCTGATTTTGAAGCCACGATGTTCTTCTTCTGTCTGGACCTTGTTTGCCTTCATTTAATTCTCCTTCCTGGAGAATGCCGTATTTTTCTGGGTGTCGCATCACATGTCCGAAATATTCTAATTTTCATTTTTTAATTGTTTTGATGATTTCCCTTGGCTTTCCCAGGAGGCTTATCACCTCCTCATTTCTGATCTTGTCAATCCAGCTTATACGTAACAACCACCTGTAGATCCACATTTCAAATGCTTCTAGTCTCTTCAGGTGGCCTTCTGTCAGAGACCAACTCTCTACTCCATAGAGCAGGATAGAAAAAAATATAGCATCTGGCAAGCCTGATTTTCAGTCATGACTGCAGAAGACCTTTTTCATTTTGAAGAATGCTGTTCAGGCTTTTTCTATCCTTGTCTTTACTTCAACGGTCATGTCCTAGCTTTCATGTAAATTAGAACCGAGGTGCGTGATCCTTTCAACTTTTTCTAGTGGTATTCCTTCTGAATTTATTGGTGGTAAATTAATGGGTTGTTTGCTGATGACCATGATCTTGGTTTTTGAGGTGTTAAGCTTCAAGAATATAAAGGAAATTTTTGCAATATCAATTACCGTATTTGAGAAAATTACAAACCTCTAGGTACTTAACTGACGTGATAATGATCAGAAAAAAGTGCTGAAAAAAATACAATGCTGTTGTTCACACATTATTTTTCACTTGCCATTTCCAGGATGAATTGGATCTCACAGATAAGAATAGAGAGGCGATGTTTGCACTCCCACCAGAGAAGAAATGGCAGATTTATTGCAGTAAAAAGAAGGTAATATTTACCACTGGATTCTAATTATGCGATAAATATTGTATCTAAAATATGGCTTGAACTGTGTGATGGTGTGTTTTTTTCTTTGATTTTTTTTTCAGTTTTGTGTACTTAATGCAATTGTTTATACAGGGGCATATTCAGCTACATGTGGTTACCTTCCCGCCCTGTATACTTGGAGGGACTTAGGATGCTGAGAAAATCAATCCACCACTTATTTCTTAAATGATCTTAAGGACAGATTTAGTTCGGATATTTAATACAAAATGTTCACAATGCCCCAACAGATGACCTCAGTTGTAATATTCCTGCAGTTCCTGAACATTTGTGAAACAGCTCATAGGTACAAGGTCTCATCTCTGCTTTCACCTCTTTTACTTTAGCAAAGCAAGAGTGCTGCTTCACTCCTAGCCAAGCACATTTACCAGTGTGATATTTTTTTAGATTTTTGGAATTTATTCTCCTGTGAAGTAGTTCTCACATAATCAGTGAAAAAAAAAACACGACAGAAATGTGACAAACCGAGCACAGATGCAGACAGTCCAACTCACCTAAAATATAGTCTCCTATATGAGGTGAGAAGGAAAGGGAAAGAAAAGAAGATTTGAACATTTGTTTTTATATAAGGGTCTTGTTACTTGAATCAGAGAAATAGCTGAAATTCTTGGCTATAGGTCCCCATTTTTTCAGTAACGATTACTTATCTATAGTTCTAGGAATTCTTGTGAGCTTGCCTAAGTAGTTCATTGTTGCCTGACAGTCCTGTGATAAAAGGATACTTTGGAAGTAGGTGATTGGAATAAAATAGCTTTCTGGTACCCAGAGCCGTGATTGTCATGATTTTTAAGTTGTTCTGTGTTGATTTTGAACTACAAGATACACTCATGATGAGAATGTTTGAAAGCTGGTGAAGCATATACCATCTTGTTCTGGTCAGATATTTCTGCTTGAAGAAGTTATATTGCAAGTATAATATAGTTAATACTTAAACATATTTATACATGAGGGTGAAGGTTCGTTTCCCTGAGCTAGTGGGTTGGTTTCTGAACATTTCATTACTAGGCTAGGTAACATCTTCGGTAGAGTTTAGGGGATGCCAGTGTTCTGTTTATAAGGGTTTTGTGTGGTCAGTAAGTCTTGTGATGGGAGCCATCAGAAGATCTACTGATCAGCCAAAGCCCTTATAAACAGAAGAACACTGTCACTGACATCCCCTAAACTCCATTGAAGATGTTACCTTGTCTGGGTAATGAAATGTTTGGAAACCTATCCACGAGCTCGAAAAATGAAACTTCACCCTCATCCTACACCCGAGCTATAGATATTCTCCACTATTTCATATTTATGCATAACAGCCACTCCCCTCTCCCCCATTAATATTGAATCTTATGTGTAAGCTCAGCATTCACAAAGCTAAGAATCCTGGTATCTTGAATCCAAATGTTAGGAAGTCTTGTAGTCAAGCCTTTGAACTTTAATGTAAAAAGTAATGTGTGAATAATATCTCATTTCAAGTTATGACACTCCATCCTTCTGCCCTGATTTATTCTTAATAAGAAAGGAGTTTTACCTTTCCCATGGGAAATATGTAAGCTTGCTCACTCTCATTAGTTTCAGTATGAAACATGAGATCCAGAAAATATCTGACCCATTGAAAGCTGTTGATTCTGTCAGCTGGCCTTAATTTTGAGCAGACCATAGTCTGACTGCTTTCATTGGCCCACATCTCATCAGAACATTAGTCCTAACAAGCTAGACACTGGGCAATATAATAAAATTGTCTTTTTTCCCAGTATATTTTCTTCCTTTTTCTGAAGAAAGAAAACAAATTAGTGTACTGAAGAGGAATGTCTCAGGATTGTACCTTGCCTTACCCAACACCTCTGTGAGACAGATTAGTGAGTTTAATAACTTTGGCTCTCTGACGACCTTCCATTACTTATGAGTCTTCAGACTGAAATATCAGCACAATGTTACCTTTCTCTGTCTTGCAAAGATTGATGATATTGCTGAGATTTGAAGAATGGTCAGGAACATTGTTGATCCCATTCTTGAGGTATTAGCAAACAGCTATACTACTGTTTCTATGAGGAGTAACTTAAAACCCAGTATTCACTCTCTTCAGCATCTCTTTTTAAAATACCTTTCCCAGGGAGACTTTCAAAAGAAAACCTTCACCAAATTGTCATCTGGTCTCATTTAAAGACAAAATGCACTAAAGGAAGGTCACATCATCTGTTCTCCCAGCATGGGTGTGGGGAAATAGGGGTGGCTGGAGATTTTTAATTTTCTGTTTCAGATTGTATGCCCTGAGTGAGAGGAGCTATGTGTCCCGTTATACTTGCATAGTATCACACAAAATGTCTACAGTATATCCAATGCATTAGAATAATGTCTTTATTATTTTGCCTTTAACTTTGTTACCTTAAAACATACCTAAGCAGTAACTCTATTTGATTTTGGCAGTGTATCCTAACTCTCTGTTCTCAGTTTATTTACCAGGGAATCAATCTTTTGTGCAAGTGTATTTCAAGACTATATAAAAGACTGCTACTATTCTATGATATTCTGCCGCTACTATTCTATGATATTCTATGCTTTCCAATATCCATTGTTATTCACCGTGCAAACTGTATAATTGCAAGCCTGTGATGTGGTGGGGGATAGAGATTTTTTAATTTTTAAGAGTCTTTGAACTTTCACAACATTCATTGATTTAGAAAAAAATGTTTTCAATGTTCTTCTCATCTGGAAACCTATAAAGGTGTTCATCTGTGGCTTTTGAAAAAAAAGGAAATCAGCCTGTCCTCCTCTTTATCTTTCTTCTAGACTTGCAGAGTATTTCCTAACTGTATAAGCAGGCTTGCTTTTTTTAAGGTCACCTCATCAATTATTTTATTTTGGTATCTCCTGTGGCTTTCAGGAGTGCTACTTAATGTCTTTTTCTGCTGTTTGCACAAATAGTTGACAAAGACACTGAATAGTTATTAAAATTGGAAAATCTGTTTGGATGTACGTACATGCCTCCAAATAAATTTTTAGAACCAAGAGAACCATTGCTTAGTTTAGGTAAAAAAATGGGTAGGTAAACAAATTGTGTTACTATCTACTTCCATTTAACTGGCCATTCAGTGTACTTAGGAGTACAATCATTTTTTTTCCATAATGGCCCTTCAATTTTTTGGAGGGAGGTCACTTTGTTCCAGTTGAAACATATGTCATGATGTCTCATCCTTTTCAGAGGTGTCTTGGTCCCTGCTTTCGAATAGGACACTGATGCTGCTAATAGTGATCATGTTATGAAAAAGACTTCTAAGATGGACGTGTGTCACACTATAAATAGAATACTTGCTATGTGAACACTACATTATCATTTCAGAGAAGTAAGAAGACACAGTGAAAAGAAGGACTAGGGATGACATGATAGCAGTGTTACAATAGGCTGATCCTGTCTTCTTTGCCACAAAGAAGACAGGATCAGCCTATTCTCCAAAGCACCTGAAGGCAGGACAAGAAGCAATGGATGGAAACCAATCAAAGAGAGTAGCAACCTAGAACTAAGGAGAAATTTCCTGACAGTGAAAACAATTAATGGCTTGTCTGTAGAAGTTGTGGGTGCTCCAACACTGGAGGCTTTTAAGAAGAAATTGGACAACCACTTGTCTGAAATGGTATAGAATTTCCTGTTAGGATGGAGGGATAAACTGGAGGACCTCTGGCACCCCTTCCAACCCTATTATTCTGTTCTGTTATTCTTTCTATGATCATGTGTATCCTTCCCATCAAGCCCAAAGAAAGTCCAAAATGGTATAGGATCTTGCACAGGCAGGAAATTGGACTAGAAATCAAAGGTCCCTCCCAACCCTGTTATTCTGTGTTCTGTATTCTACATAGGCTATTAGCTCCTGCCCCAGTCATTAGTTGGGAAGAAGTAGATACAGAACAAAGAACTTTCTCTAGTATGTTTCCTTTGGCATAAAGCTAAGATAGAAAAAGAATGGGATCATTTAAAAATGTAGAAGTCTTTCTTCCTTCTCAAAGAGTCAGATCATGAAAAGAAAAGTTTGAAAACTGAAGATCCAAGGCAAAAGGGAAAACCTTGATGGGGATGGTGGTTATTGGAAGTATAAGGCAGGTTATTTAGTTGGCAGAACTAAATGTGTTATTTTATATGATTTTTTTCTACCAGTGTTCAGATATCCTAAAATTCAAAACTCATTGTGACTCTTTTGTAATTTTCAAGTTATTTTATGTATAATTATTATGCTTAAATTGCATCTCATCTTCTCATCATTTCTCTACTCTCCTGACCTCCTTTTATAACCAGATAGAAGAATATTCTTATTTTTCTAAGAAGGTTTTCATCAATTTTTCACTCTATACTTGATGACATCAAGGGGAAATGGTTTGAACTCCTCAGAATTCCATTAAAGTGCTAACATTCCAGTGGAGAATATCCACTGTTAGATAAAACTCTGACATATCAGCTCTTTCCTGGGGAACAGCTGAAGGGATGAAAGTTCTGCTTTTTCTCTTGTTCTCTCCAACTTTCTCAGCTTAACTCACAGTTTCCAGTTATGTAATGCTGCATCATTTATTTATCTTAAGAATGGAGGTCACTGAGGTTCAGGCCCTTGTAATTATATGTTTATTTTTTAAACTTGAAGAATTTCTTCTCTTTTTTTAACCATGGGAAAGGCAATGAATATCTGTAATTTCCTCATTTCTTCCTTCCTTCCTTCCTTTATTTATTTATTTATTTATTTTTTTAGGAAAGAAGCTTTACAGATGTCCAAAATCTACAATATGACCAATTTCTCTTTTTTGGAGAAGGCTTCCTCAAGGATAATTTCTGGATATGGTTGAGTTCAGTGTCTCAAAGCTGAAAAGTTTATTTTTTTTTAAATGCTCAGTTAAATCAAGTTAAAGTTTGCTTAACCTGTTGCTGTCAAGCAGATTAATAATTAATAATATTGGAAGCATTGAGAAAAAGTTGCTTC